AATGTACGAAACTTGTTCTTTTCAAACTCGGTTCTCCCTTCTCATATATATTTGACTCATTTATTTTTTACACAAACGATGTGTGGAAGAGTTTTTGAAAAGGAAAAGGTTTTTTCACTATAAGCTTTGAGCTTGTGTATTTTTAGTTGCTCTATTACGTTATACTCATTCCAAAATAGCTTTCTTGAAGGTAACAAAAATTTGGAACCCCGCTCCTAAGCGACTAACGGGGCGCTGTTGCACTAGCAGAGTTTTGATTGAAGAAAATAGTCTTGTTTTAGACGTATGTAGCACTTAGCTACCCTAACTTCAGGCGCATAAAACGCGGAGGATTTTTTCCAAGTTGACCAGCCCAACACGCCAAAGGACCTTGCAACCAAAGGACCCCATACAGTACTGTATATTGCCTAAAAGGATCGCGGCATAAGGATGCTTTACGAAAACAGTGAAGCGGCTGGGCGGCTTGCTTGCAAAATCGAATAAAGTGCATTTCGTACCCGTGAAATTAGGGTAATTGATATCTTGTGCTTATCCACCTTTGACCCCTCAAATTTGAACTTTTTTGGGTTCGTGCATAGCGTTAGAAAACCGATATCATTGAAAATTCTTTAAACGAAAGAAGAATCAACAACTTTGAAGATTTTTGGATGACGTCGATGTTGGAAAACTTACATGATTGGTATCTTAATTTCCTCTGCATTTAGCAGATGGACATCTTATAGTCATATAGGCACGGAAATAAGATGCAAAACACAGCGAGAATTGAGGTATGTGAAAATAGCAAGACTTAATCGTTCAAGTTTCCCTTTAGCCATTGTATTCTTCAAAGATGTCAAATAATGTAGAACAAAAAGCGGCACAATATTTACGTAACTATGATTTACTATGGCACTAATTTAGAGGAGCTCTCGCAAATCTTAGAGATTTTTCCCAAGTATGAATGTACATACGTAAAGGCAGAAGATGCATAAATGATTTGGAAGAAAAAGAAAATCACATACTGAAGTTGTTGATAGCAATTCCAGAGTCCAATGCAACCTTTTACGTTGAGAAAACACACTCAATCACTCTGTTGCTGCTCTGTAATTTGCGGAGGTTAAAGCGGTTGAATTTTTCTCGGACGACCAAATGATGGCGTTTTTGAACAGTTCAAACTTATAGCGCAAATTGTCAACTTGAAAAAGGCTCTTACGAATGTTGATAGCAGTGATAATGAACTTGTCGAAGATTATTGGGCATTCTGCATGCATAAAGTTTTACAGCCGTTTTATTTGTCCTCATGAGTGTTAGAATCGTCGCCCTCTCCTTTGTTTCTACTGTACGCCCGTGACTTGTCGCTTTCGTACAAACAAAAAGCCTGACGGCATAGGCTGCAGAAATAGTGGAATTCTTAGCAAGGCAAAGAGGATCTCAAAGGACTACTGTCAAGATAATGGAAAGTTATGGGATTCATTGCAGCTTTTTCAAGCAAGAGAACTGATTAGATGCTCTAATTTTGGTATGTATATATTGTTGCCGTCCAGCCAAGATATACATACAATCGCATGTGTAATTATCATGACACTTGCTGAAATGCGAAGTCGGCCATTCAGAGCGGTTATGAACTTTGACTTGTATTTGCGCTGTAAAACATTAAAAACCTGACCATCCGAAACATAAGTGGTATGGGTGAGGGAACACTTGCTAAGCCCATTAAACGGTCATATCAGCGCTCTAAGCCAAAGATATTTATACTCATTAGTAGGTTCTAGTGCAGGGATACATGTTATTTACTTCTCTAGATGTAAACGCATACTTTCTAATTACCTCTGACAGAGCTCTGACAGAGCTTTTTACGCTCTATTCATCCATGTGCAGCTTCAAAATTTTCACCTTCTTTTACTGTTTTTGCGAGCCTTCTAAGAAATATTTTATGGCTACAGCGGCCTAATTTTGAGATTTTGACGAAGTGCGAACTCCTAAAAGCGTCATACCAAAGGTTGTAAGGGAGGAGAGGTACGCGCTATCAGATTTATAGACAAAAATCATTTGACAGTAACTTCGCTGCAGCATGCTTTTTGTTGATCAAAGCAAAATTAAAATGTTAGTTGGGCTGTTCCATTACTCTATCAGCCTAATAGATGTAGAATAAAAGGAATAGCGATGGCTATATTTCACCTGCCACACAGGCTGCCTCTTCGTTATTTCGCCTTTTTTGTTCAAAGTATTAGGTTGGTGCAAACGTAATGCGCGTTTTTCTAGCCCTTGTTTTAGTACAACGTTTCTCCATCAGACTTTTTCTTTTGGAAGAAACTTGTACACTTTCAAAAAGTTCCTTTCCTGCTCTATCCAACGATGGTAGAAAGGAGCTTTTAGCCTCATTTGTTAGAAATTAGTAGAACTTCATACCCTCACTCGAAACCAAAATTTCATTGCACTTACTTTTTTGGCTAAAATGTAAGCGCCAATAAAGGCATTCTTTTGAAAATCTAACCGTTGTATGAAATGGAAATTGTCTACATTGCGCATACTTTGCTATTTTCTTAAAAATGACCTAGATTGAGATTTCGACATGAGTAATGGTTTTGGCCATTCTGTGGCCCATAGATTTCCTTTGAAGAGGGCAGTCCCAAAGTTTTGCTCATTTCTGTAAGCGTAAGGGTGGGCCTCCTGTTGACAGTTTTTGCAGAAATGTGGAAGCTGTTCAGTAGACAGAAAATCAAAAATTTCCATATTTTGGGATTTTGAGGCCTACGAAAAAAATGTCGAAAAAGCGGACAACTTTGGACATTAAATTTTTTCTTTTTCGCAAATCTTCTTTGTTTGAACCCTTTTCGATTTTTTTGTACTAGTGGGGTGCGGCTACAAGATGGACAACTTATCATTCACATTAACAAATTTTGGAGCGAGTTATGCTCACTTGAAAACGGGGTTTTAGAGAAAAACTTTCTTTGCTTTTCAATCTATATTTTTTTGCCCATTGGGGATATGGGCATAGGTGGATGTGCCCTGTATTGAGGAATGTTTGGTGCCTTTGATGGTCTTTACCGCACTGAAAAATGCGGATCTGTTAGAAAGTTATAGCACGTCAAAGTGAAAACTTGTGAAACGCGCATTACTTTTGCATCAACCTAATAGTATTAAATCATTACTGAATCTTTCGGCTCTTCGAATGACTTTATTCTCTTTCCTCTCTTCACCTTCACAAATGCACGAAATATCACTTACACAAACGCTCACAAACCATATTCAGTAGCTTAGCAATAGTGCAGTTACAACAGGAGTCATAGAGTCGGACATACCTCTTACTACGAATTACAAGATCTCCAATGATGGCGAAGCAGCCTGTTCGTTTACAAGTATGTTCTAATTGGATTTGTGCAAACACCAGCTGTATCTGACTTGTATCTGACGTAAATAGCTCTTCAGTCAATTTTTATCTCCAAACAATGGCAAAGTAGCGCGCAGTATCGTCTCCCTTGTACCCTAGCATTTTTGACACAGTTCAGCTTAGCTTCAACCGCACTTTAAACAGAAACCTTTAGTCTTATGAGCTTTGGCCATACTTTGCTTGTGTTACTCGTGTTACCGGTGTCACCCAGTGTTACTCGTGTTACTCGTGCTACCAATGTTACTAGTGGAACCCGTGTTACTAGTGTTATTCGTGTTACTCACCAGTCAATGAGATTGTTTTTTAGAATGAAACTGCATTTGTGATCATTTCACTACACGACAGCTATAAAAATGGTAACACTATGACCCAAGTAACAGGAGTAACACTGGTAATACGAGTAACACTGGTAACAGGGTGAAACGGGTAACACGGGTAACACGAATAACACTAATAGCAACGGTAACACGGTTAACACGGGTAAAGTATGTTCAAAGCCATAGGATGCCCCTACGAAGTTTTTTCAGAATAATTTGATGGGATACTGGAGGGAAGGAGATATATGCATAGCACCCGATGCCTTGAGTCAAGCGGTGGAGGCACTCAGCTGTTTATGATTGATGAGCGAATTAGACATATCGGATTGAATATTTCTGCACTCAGACGTCTTACACTCAAATAATAACGGAATTGTAAAGTTTAGCTGCAAGGTCGAGTAGAAGTGACAATTTATAGAAGCACAATTCTCACCGAATTCCGTTGGAGTTGCTATAATAAAACGCGACACATCAACGCACACTCATACAGAACGTATATCTCGTTTTCATCACTGCTAAATCATCATCTTCACTTAGTCTGAATAAACGAGCTAGCTAACGACAAAGTAACTGAACAAGCGCGGGAGGGGGGTGGGGGTAGCGTGAGATATCTTTAGTATTCCAGGAAGAGTACCTATTTTTGCTTTGTGATAATCGTGACCTCTTATCCTAAAAATCATACAGCAGCAAATGTAAGCAGTGAAGACTATCGAAGTAAAGCTACCACTAATCACCACTTTACTAGAGTTTTGATAGCGCAATTAGCGTAATTAAAAATTGTTTGAATCTGTAAAATTCGGCTAAAAAATTTTAAAGACATGAGCTGACCATCAGCGCAAGCTTCCATTGGACAGGAACCTTTGTCCTTCTCAGAACCCGGTAAGGTTAAAAATAAAAGTTTTTATTGTAAGGAACATAAGCGTCGGGTGGAAAAGCCCTTTTGACTTATTTCACCTGCACTTTTCAAGAAAGATTGTAACAAAGTCAAAGATCAGGGAAGTGGAAAAGCGTAAATCTCAAGAACTGATCAACTACTACTTTTTATTAACCTTCCTTCTTCACATGATATAGATGTGATTCACAAAAGTGCTACATACCCTATGATTCAGGTTTGAAAAGAATTTTTTTAACAAAGATTAAGAGATGTAGTTGACCTTTTTGAGATGAAGGAAATGGCTGAAGAGAGCACGCTTGACGGTTAAGCTCAATGGCATATCATACTGATTGCTGAGATGAGAAAGCACTGCAACTGCTACGCCCATATGAATGTACTCTATAAAACTGCTGGTGAACCGTCATTTAGGAGCATTCGACTTCTGTCTCGCTAGCGAGAGGAAATGACTGTGGAGCGGAAGCTATTAGAGGCCTACTATCTCAGACGTGCAACCTTTTTTGGAGTTGCTGTAGCATCTACCGCTATGACGATTGCCATATTTGCCTTGCCTCTGCTCTGTGTTTATCTGCAATACGTTCACTCGCGTATTGATGAGGAAGTCAATTATTGTCGCACAAAATGTGGTGGAATGCGCAAGGAAATCACAAAGGTAGGAAAAAATTCTTCATTATCAAACATGGGAACAAAGTTCTCTCAGTGACCATAAAACTCATCAGCTTTTAACTGAATGATTTACTTGCTGGTATGGTGTGCACTATCGCAGAGTCTGAAAATTCGCATAAAAAAGACTTTGTTTTGCTTGAAACACAAAGTTTCACAGACAATTCCCTTTTTCTGTGTTTGTTTGCATTGAACTTAATTGAAAGCCATGGTTTCAACATAATATTTACTTCAAAAATCACAATAGTTTTGAATACTCAACTTTTTTGCAAGATTTAAACACAACAATCATGATAGATAAATAGAACAGATTACCGTCTCAAATTTCTTTTATCACCAAACAATTCTATGGAACTATGTTTGAAACATCGGTGATTAACATCTTTCTGCAAAACACTTCAGTAGTGTTGAATTCCAACCAGTTTACCCTTATTGAAAAAGCTTGGATTGTGCAATATTTTCGCCTAATCCGTTTGTAGACTTTTTCCTCGAAAATTCGAGTGTCATAAACTTCGGTTATTTTTTCTATAAGTTTGTGATTTTTTGTACTAAAACGCTAATCAAAATTCTCAAAGCATTTCAACTGGTGTAAGTCTGCTCTGAGTGCCAGATAAAGATCTAATCCGACCTCCGGAACAGTGTAGAATTTTGCATTATAGGAGTTTAGCCAGCTAGCTAGCGAATTAGACTCCTGTTTTTTGAAGTTTTCCTTACTGATGTGAGAAGAGAGCTACTAAAAAGGATGTAATGCTGCATCAGGTGGCCTTTGAATGTCTTTGCAAGTTCTATTTCAAAGAACGAAAAGCATGTGGCGACCCTATCAGTAATAGGAGGGAGCTTTTACAACAACTTCTGGCGCAGCAAAAGTAGACTTTTGTCCTAGCACTTTGATCTGATCAGTAACACAGGTACAAATCGTCCGAATCAAGCGGCAAGCGGCGCTTTCTTGCTGCTCATGTGGTGTGGGCGCTCAGGGCCCACCAGGCCTGATGGGACGCGATGGAGAGCCAGGCAGAGAGGGAAATCCAGGGCGACCCGGACCACCTGGCCCCGACGCTGAAGATAGGAAAGCAGTCCCTCGCCCTGAAGACTTTTGCTACGAATGTGAGCCGTCTCCTCCGGGAGAGCCAGGTCCACCCGGCCCCGTTGGTCCGCAAGGACCACCAGGCGGAATCGGTGAAGTGAGTCATTTCTTTTATTTGTTTTTATTAAAGATTTCATGCATTTAGTGCGGACCGTTGGGAGATCTTGGTCCACCAGGTCCACCAGGGCTACCAGGAGCGTTCGGTCCAGACGGGGAAGTCGGACCACCAGGTCCGCCAGGATTACCCGGAATGTCTCGAACTGTGAATTCGCCAAAAGGAAAAGATGGGCCGCAAGGGCCAGAGGGACCACCCGGCCCTCCAGGAATACCTGGTAGAAGTGGAAAAAATGGAAAGGATGGCTTACAAGGTCCGGATGGTGATCGTGGACCTGATGGATTACCGGGACAAGACGGAGAGGACGGCGAACCTGGGCGGCCAGGGCTAAGAGGAGCGTCGGGATCCTGTGAACACTGTCCGAAGCCTCGCACTCCACCAGGCTATTGAACATGATAGTGATATCACATATCGTGTACCATGAAAAAAATAATGGTAGCCTTGCTGCAATAAAATCTTGTTCCCCTTCCAACACTTCGCCATCGTACTGGGATGTAGGATAGACCATGAGTAGTGATGGATACTTCCAGAAAGCTTTCGGCATGTTTACAAAACTCCGTGGGCAAATAATCGCTTGCTAAGCTGAAAGCCATCTTTTTCACCAGTACACGGTAATGGCTCTCGAGTATGATATAACGAGCGCGTATGCCTACTAGACTAAGAAACATGCGACGTGCCGACATTAACGTGCTTGTTCAATGACATCGTTATGTGGTACGCACAAACGCAATCACAGCCTCCATAAAAATGCATACCTTCATTTTTCTGCCTCTAATGAATTCACGCACGATTGGAAAGTAGCATTGGTCAATGCAGGGCGAGGAGGGAAGCTCATGCTATTTCTTAAATTGAAGTGAGAAGAAGAATGGGATGGTTGCGTAATACTTCGCACTAAAGCATAACCACCGATCGATTTCATTAGCGGCTCGATTCAGTACTACAATGATAGTTCATGATTGTTCGTGCGTGCGTTTTTGCACAAAAAAGGCTTGAGTTTGCAGCAAATAAAAAGGTTGTGCACTGGGATTCATATACCTTAATGCGCTCAGTTTCAAGCACGAGATTATCATGTAGTATTTAGACACTTCTTCAAACACAGCTAAAAAATGTCATACAAGCAAACATATCCCAGTGCTTGCATATATTAGGTTGTGTAATAAGTTCGCTCGCATTTTTTGCTTCAATTTTTTCTCAGTATTTCACGAAGCATTTGGCATAGTGTTTGTATGCATTCGGAACCTCTAAGCTCCACTCTACCAAACTGCTGTCATCATATTCCCAGTTTTAAAAAGTAATTGAAAAATCATTGAAAAATTAAACTACAAACCGAAAAATCTGAAAGAGCGAAAATCTCATTTTTGAGAACTATGTTACGCTGTGTCCTAAATGGATTCGAACGCTTTAGAAATAGCCCGAAAATTTTGCAATTTTGCAAAAAAAAGTGTATGAAGGTAATACTATAGCTCCCACAGATTACTTAAAGGGGCTAAAATTATTCAAAAATTCATAGGTGTAATTTTGTATTATTACAATATTTTCATATTGTATTCAAAATTAGGTATGTTTTTGATGTCTCTTCGGCGTCAACGTTAAGCATAGGTATGCACTTTTGAGGAAGGGCGGTAGCCGAACAATCCAGGAAATGGCAGACAATGTGGTCTATGATGGCTAAATCATCAAATCAATGGGTTTTGTAGTCAAAAATCCAGAATTTGGGGGACACACAGCCCATGTACGCTAGACAATGAACGCCTCCGGGGCAAAGCCTTGCTACTCCGACTTTTGCAAAAATTGCATTAAACGGTTGGCGAAAGGAAGTGGACAATGGTAAACAGTTTCGGTAAGTGCATAGACGATCAGTAAGTTGTTTTTCTTATTGTCAAACTTTTTGAATAAACAATGAATAAAGGAACAACTAAGAAGGAAAAAAGATGTCGAAAATGGAACATTTGTCTTCTCAGATTTATTGGTGTATAGTCAAGTTTTTTTCTACAACTTTTGAAGAATCGAAAATATAATAACAGAAGTTTGGTAGAGCAGACTTAGAGCTTTCGAACGCATACTAACATTTTGCCAAATGCTTTGCAAAATATTGAGAAAAAAATAAAACAGGAAATGCAAACGAACTTATTACACAACCTATACAGAGTGTCCCAAAAAATGTACCTACTGTTTGACTGTAAATAACTCTCTTGTAATGAAGTGTTTCGAGAAGCTTTGAGTACCATTCTGTAGAGCGAGATTAATCTTAGATTTACAGTAAGGAGCGAATCGCCGACTGCTCTTCATTACTGTAGGATTACGGTACGATATCAGCGTATGGAACCATTGTCAAATATGCCACCTAACAAAGTTTTTTTTTTCAAAATATCTGAAAAATCGTGAACTAGGGTTTTCTTTCATGCTGATTCCGTCTAACAACTTTTTACGAGTGTTTTCAGCTTTTTGACCGTATAGTTATATTTCTGACAAATGCTGAGGGTGAAATTATTACGATTTAAGGTGGATAACTTGAGAAAGAAGCATCATATTATAGCGAAAAATTCAAATTCAGAGTTTTTGGCTTGTTTGTTTTTTTCCGAGGCAAAATATGGCCTGCAATAGCCTAAAATCCTTGTTGAAATTCGTGCCGTAATCCTACAGTAATGAAGAGCGATAGATGATTCGATCCATACTGTAAATCTAAGCTTTACCTCGCTCTACAGAAAGGTACGTAAAGCTTCCAAAACACTTTTATTCACAATCACAGTAGGTACTTTTTTGGAACACCGTGTATATATTAGGTCATTCCGAAAGTAATTTCGCTTTTTTCAACTGGACGCCACATGTGATGGAACAAACATTTCAAAGAGCATTAGAGGTGGCATTCGATGCAGCATTTCATCCTCTTTTTAACAGTAGTAAAATCTTCGCAGCTCAGTCATTGAGCTTTTCGAAAATAACAAAAGCTGCGACCCATGCTATTTGAGATTGTCAAGTTTCACAATTTTTCAAAACCTTCATATCAACTCTCAGAAGGAGTTCAAGTAACGGTTGCATAGAGCAAACCTTATAGAATACAGTACAACTTTTTTCTCCTTTTCATAGCTCGCCGTAATTTTTTGAAAGATTTTTTACCACAACCATCGGATTTTGGCAAGCCTATGTCAGTCACGATCGCACCACACATCAGTAATTACTCGGAATTTGAAGCTTTTAAGATGATATGACTTAATGTTGATTTTATAAAGTAAATGAGTGCTTACGGATTCGAAATACCGAAATTCGATTTTATGGGTACAGCCTTGGGCGCGTTCAAAAACATGAGTTATGATGATTTTATCCCCGAAGACTGAACAAATTGGAAACAAAAAACACCTATTAGAAAGAGAAGAGAAAGCTGCATCAAACAGCAACCGAGCTGCTCTCTCATTGATGTTCTACGAGATTTGAGTTGACCAAGTACGAAAATTGGTAGCATTGGTTGAAATTTTATTGAAAAATTTTGAGGAGGTATTTGAAGAAGAAAAAAATTGATTTGTATCCTGTAGGGTTTGCTCTATCTAACCGTTACTTTAACTCCTTCTGAGTTTTGACAGAAGGTTTTGAAAAATGTGAAACTTGACCATTTGAAAAAGCATGGGTCGCAGGTTTTGAATATTTTCTGAAAGCTCAATGACTGAGCTGCGACTCACCACTGTTAAAAAAAGGATGAAATGCTGCATCGAGTGCTACGAAGATCTTTTGGAAATCACTTTTCCTTCAGGTGTGGCGCCCCTTTGAAAAAAGCGAAGTTACTTTCGGAATGACCTAATATATTAGGTCGGTCCGAAATTTCGCGCTGCTTTTCAGACCCATGCTCAAACCACTTAGAATCATAGGTGCGATAGGGGGAGCCAGGCTCTCCCCAGGTGAAGGGGGTATGTGAGCCTGGGGGGGGGGGGTGGGGAGGAAGAGAGAAAGGGTAAAAAAGCGTGGTATGAAGATCTCTATTTTGTACCTTATTTAGGGACAAATTGGAAAAAATTTCTAGAAAAATCTAAAAGAAATTAAAAAATTTGAAAAAATTGACTTTATGAAGATCTGTGCTCCTGTTTCATTGCACCAACAAAAAACGAAAGCAATCAGGTTTATCCCAAAAGATGTACAAGTTAGGAACAACTTCAATTCCTGCACATCATCATCAACAATATCACTATCGCTAACGTCAGAGACAACAAGTTCGCTGCCTGAAAAATCTTTTTCTTCCTCCAAAAGGTTATAGGAGTAGAAGTAAAATTGCGTGAAAAAGCGTTCTAAGTTGAAAATGGATCTCAAACGTTCTTCTTCTCTAAGCGATTGTAATTTTTTTTGCCCTCTGGTAGCACAGGAAAGTCAGCAGGTAGGTGACCAGTGTCTTCATACCATCTTTCAGGATATTTCAAATAGTCATACGGTGACATGTCTGGAACACTTATAGCAATCCTTTGAACGAAGTTCTTAGATAACAATATGTTTAGTAGAAGGTTGACAAACCTTAAGTAATTGCTTAGATGCTCCACCGTTGTGCGACTTCTGCGTTGTGTTCTGATAACAGAGTAGATAGAAAATCCTCTATCCACCTCGTGCTAGTCGGAATGGAAACTAGCTTTGCTAGTAAGTCCATCAGACTTTCGCGTTAAGTAATGGAGAAAGAGCCAAATCGCATATGCTTTTGCAACACGGGAAGGAAATATTGCATACTTTTTTGGGCCTTGTCGACTCTGGCTTCACCTCCTCTAGCATACGTCCTGTTAGCTGATGAAAGCTGCTCAACTTCTCCTTCAGGATCTGCGGAATAGCCGAAAAAAGTTGATACTATGCTGCGCATTGGTTTTTTTTTCAATATTATAGGTTACAATGTCACGGGGCGAATAACTTCCAAAAGCATAAAGCACAGAGTTGGGTTCGCACTCCAGTCGGGATCTAAGAGCAGTAGCTATGCTTTGTACTAACACCTTCCTTTTGTTCATATCCATGTTTGTGAATTTAGCAGATTGAAATCTTCAGCAACCTGAAAATCAGCAATGGACTTCTTGGACATTTCCTCATTGAGACTAGGCAATCTGCTTGGATTTCTGATGTACGAAATAGAGAGTTTCGCTCAATTGTCAACTCTGTATCAATGTCGACAACATTTTCGTCGGCGTAAAATTCTCCTTATGCTTCGCTGTGGAACTGAAACACATGCGCATCATCTGCGATTTTGTAAAGTATTCTGCCTGCCGTTTCCTCTTCAAACTGCCAACCTTTCCAAAACATTGAGGGATATTTTAATAACATGTAATTCTTCTGAATGTCTTAAAGTTTTTGATTCATTGAAACCAACCATTCTCTCAAATTAGGTAAGGTGAGTCTAGAGCGTTTTCACGAAAGTGATTCTCTTCAGCACTAGGTTTGCAGAGTATAGATTCCAGAAATGGGTGGGTTTTTGTGTTAAGGTGTGGAAATTCACCAATCTCCCACAGTTTTGTGAGTGTGTGCTAATAATGATGGCATAACTGTCAATCAAAAGCGCATTTTTTACCAAAAAAACATAAACATATAAAAAGATAAGCACGCTTAAATAGACGCGTTCGCTCAAGTTCCCGTTAGTGCTGGTAACGATGTCAATCCACAGCACATTTTTTACTATTAACTTGCTCCACCTCGTTCTTATTAGGTCGTCCCGAAAGTTTTTGCGCACGATTTTCAAAAATTCATAACTTCTGATTTTCCAACCGATTTGATTGCTTTCACTTTTATGTGAAAGGGTAAGTCATGCTCTTTATAGTGACATCTCAGCTGCTTAGTAATAGTCATCTGTTGCATAGATAGGAGCGATAGAAGAAAAATGGTCAAAATTTGAATTTTCTGTGTAGGGTCATAAAAATCGGAGACTTGCAACAAAAATCGGAGCAGTCAGTATTGTAGGTTCTTTCACCAGCTCTTTCTAACAGTGCAAAGTTTGCGCCGATTGAGCGTTTCTATGGAAAGTTATGATTTCCCTGAAAAATGCCAAAATAAACCAAATTCGCCCTTTTGTATTGCTTGCTCGAAAATCATAACCAGGGTCAAGCAAGGGGTGTGGCGCACGATCGCTGGTTACGACCCCCTCCTGATTGCTGTCTTAATAAGACCCCCCCCTAAACTATACACTTAAGATAGCATTACTTGAAGGCCCTGTCAAACATAATGGGCAACATATCCATAATTAGCATGTCGAATAACCCCTGTAGATAAAGTGTGAGCGGATTCTGAAGATTCAACATACTAGACTACCTAAGTGAAATGGTCATTTTTCAACATGTTTAACATTGTTTCAATGGTGAATTAGCTATCCGTTTTTGCACTCAAGACAAAGCACTACTCCTTCTTTGTCCACCTCAGGAATCCCGCTTCAGAAGACCTCCAAACTGTGGAATTAGAAGCCAACCAAAATCTCGTTTTTCCCATTTTTCGCTTTTGATCGCTGTGCTTTCAAATATTATTTGGAGCTAAGAAGACGAATCAGGCTCAAAATAGTCCTATGGAATCTACAAGGTTTAGGCTATCGATTCATATAAATAGTGTCCGCTAAAAATGTTTTTTTTGATATAGTTAATGGCCTGCGGCCCCCCCCCCTCAAAACCTGCGGCTGCCGACCATTAGTAAGCAGATAAGATGTCATTATAAAAAACATGACTTACTATTTCATATGAAAATATAAGCAGTCAAATCGGTTGGAAAAATCAGAAGTTATGAATTTTTGAAAATCGTGCGCAAGAACTTTCGGGACGACCTATGCAATGTGTTGGCTTTTATGGGTCACCGGAGCAAGTGCTTTTTGGAGCCGGGAAGCAAAAAAGCCCTAACATGCTTTATACCATTTGAAAGCTGAGATCATGGAGAATCGACGTAGACGTCGACTTTTTTCTAGGTCTTCTGTGCCGCGAGATATGAGGGATTTTATGTACTTCAAAAGTCAACTGATTTTGTGTCCTCACTTTCTGCTCTCCAAATGAATGCTACGAGGATAAACAAATATTATAATATAAATAAACATAAACATCGTTTCTTTTTAAATTTATGAGTGTACTTGTTGTTTAAGGTACTTAGCCTGCAAAACCTTTTAATAACGATTTTTATCATATTCTCAAAGTACAATACCAATCTCAGCCCAGGTGAAGGGGGTCATCGGGAGTTTGGCTTCAAAGTGAAGGGGGTAAGATCCATTACTCCACCTATCGCAACTATGCCTCCAATACAATAAAGTGGGCTGGGGGGAGATTTTGTGATGAAAAGTCTCCTCCCCGGGCACAAGTCGTAAAGGGCCCCATATATTATACATCATCTGAAAGCTCTTGATGAGAAGAATCTAATCTATGAAGTCGCAACATGATTCATGCAGTTCTGAAGAAGTTGTGAGTTGTTGAAATTCAAAAAGCGCTTTTTTACTTGCTCTTTCAAGACTCTGGATTTCGGCGCTGCATTCAATGGATTGGTACGGCTAAGATATATTCTGATAAGGCAAACCTTACTCTACAAAACCTACGAAGTCGCAACATCACGCACTTTCACACTTAAGATTTATATGAGTTTACTCTCAGCTGTCAAAAAACAAGTTAAAGTGGCGTAATTTTTTAAAATTCTGGTTTTCGGCAAACATCTCTCAAATCGACTCGATTCTTTCACCGTCTGATAGAACACCATCTAGTCTTCAAAACCTATGAAGGCGCAACTGCTGACATCTTCAAACAACAGACTCATAACAGTGGAAATTTCGCATGATTTTTCACTATTTAATTAAAAAATCTTGTTCTCGGCCGTTACTGCCTGGATCGATCTACTTTCTTCGCTGTACATCAATAAAATTTAATTAATTAAATACGCACAGTTCCGCTGAGTTTTACCTCCAAATACGCTACTTGATAAGCACGTTTATTTTAGATATTTATGACGCCGTATACATAAAAATATGTTTTCAATGATCTCTTTTGCATTTTTTTGCTTATTTTCCTTCTTTATCGTTCAGCGAAAAAAATTTTTTATTCCAAAAGTGAAGGTGGTCACCCTGTACCAGCTCAAAAGTGAAGGTAGGGGGAGAATCGGCTCCCAATATCGCATCTCTGGCTACGACAAAGCGTCAATGTCATTTCCGAAAGGGTTATGCTTACTTCAGAGACTTTTGATGCCCTATTTTCAGCTGACTAGAAGCAGCTAAAAAAGCTGGAATTAGTCTCACCGAGCATGATCCTACTGAATTTCTCGGTTGTCTGAAAGTTTGTAGCTGCATTGATTTGTGAAAAATCCTAGACCAGAAAGCAGGTTTGAAATGAGCACAACATGTCAGAAGAAATAATTGAGAGTTAGGATTTCGATGGTTTCTTTCTTGAAGCTACGAATCAAATATGGTATTAGAAGTGTATCGGCCGTAATTTCGCTGTGGAGGTGTCTTTCATCTGCTATTATATTCATCTCATCTTTCCTAGCTTGAATTTGTTCTACAGTTGATTACCTTTTTTTGACATCGGCTTGATTTTTACTCGATTCCTCCATGAGAATCTCGTATCCGCATATGTTTAGATTTGGATAGTTGTTGAGCATGGTGTATACGAAAACATCCGTCTCAAAAAATGTTATTTTTCCAATGTTGTAGATTTTTTTAGAAACTCAAGCTGTAAAGATGTGATTGCTGTAGTGAGGCGGGGAGCTGATTACAATTAAAACAGTGAAAAAACTATTGGCGAAACATTTCCCCCTCCTAGAAAAGTAAATAACAGTTTTACCATTCTTTTGTGAACTTTAAGCTCGTGTTTAAAACTTGATTCAGAGGAAAGTGTGCAAACTGGAAAAAAGTAAGTAAAAAAGGAAATTGCTTCTATCTATAAAATGCCCTTTGACCCTCCCCCCCCCCTTACCAAAGTGCATGTGTACAAAGTTTGGTCTGGGTTCAGAAATTCGGCACTTACCTACAAGAGATGAAGAGACAGACTGACTGACTGAGTGACCAAAGACATTTTTTATACTGGAAAAACTCGAAATTTCTGTCCGCTTGCCATCGCGCAATTCTGAGTACAAAGAAAGTGAGTGGTATACCATTTCATGGACAGAACAAGTTCTACAAGAGAATCCCGACACAAGATTCATGTTTCACTCAAAATGAGGGCAAAATTTAGAGCCAACCGTGTACCTGCCTCAAATTCGGGCGATTGCTCAGAAAATTTCTATACTTCCCACTTGAGCTAGTATGATGCACATATGCTGACACTTTTATAGGCTGTCTCAATGACGTGTCTCAAGTCCATCGCTCGGTACCTTGGCGTTTCCCCATGCCTCAGCATGCCCAGAATTCTTAGAAGATGCTCAGAATTCTGAGGATTGCTCAGAATGCGGACGCTCGCAGGGCGAACGATATTTTCATGCATTCAGCTAAAGCATCAGCACCGCATTTATTGATGTTACTGTGTGACTACTATGATGACAAAGTTTGAAGCTCACAAGCCGTTTTAGATAGAGAGGCTTTTAAACATTTCTAAGTTTAGCTCTACTTGAATCAGGTAATATTTGGATACCTAAAACCATCTAAAACCATCTTTTCGCGCTTCATGGGGTAGTACCTAGCCACCCTTTGTGTTGCTCATTCTAGTACTGGTATGTGATGTAGCTTGTTATGCGATAGAACTGTGCCAAATAAATATAGTCGTCCTCACCCCACTAGTCGGTCGATGGTCGAATTTGAATGCGAACTGAAGCAGGCCGACCGCGACAGAGCGCGGCAGAAGCCGCCCCTCAGCCAACCGCTTGCACGAGCTTTTTTCTCAGTTACTCCGGCTTTCCTTACTATCTCTCGTATTGCGGCATGTTCTCAATCAGATTTTCAGATTTCGTACCGCTAACTCTTTGAAACAAACATTTTTTGAGGGAATTTCAGCCCTATCGCAAAAAAATAGTTCAGAGTGTACATATTCTAACGAGAAACTTGACACACTTATCAAATCACATTTGTGTGTATGCCACTTACCGGAAAAGAGATTTCTCATCCAAAATCTTCAATCACATCCTTCTTCCCGGTTTACCTGAAAAAAAGGTAAAACAAACGAGCTCAACTGCACAAAACAATAGTTAGCGGCACAAAATCTAAAATCTGATCAAGAACATTATCGCAGTAGATAGCAAAGAAACACGAAGAAAATAAGAGGAAATTTATACACTAATTTGTTTCTAACATCTCTACAAAACGCTGAAGAAGACGATTTTTGGCTAACCTTGTATAGTCCTCCTTACCCCACTAGTCGGTCGGTGGTCGAATTTGAATACGAACTGGAGCAGGCCTGCCGCGCACTGCCGCGGCCGGCCTGCTCCAGTTCGAATTCAAATTCGACCACCGACCGACTAGTGGGGTAAGGAGGACTATACAAGGTTAGCCAAAAATCGTCTTCTTCAGCGTTTTGTAGAGATGTTAGAAACAAATTAGTGTATAAACGTATGTATCGAAAAAAAGCAAGAAAAATCTAATTGACTCCGTTTCGGCAAAAATCGCTATTTAGAAAAAACATTTCTTCCATTTTTGTGACTACATTCATGGCAATTCAAAAAGGTGCGCTAGATTTATCGATTGCGAGATAATAGCTTTGCAAAGGATTCCCTCAATAGGATGCAGGATATATATTCCATTTCCTCCGTCTCCACTTACGAGTTCGATGATATCCGTGTCCAGTGTGCTTCGAATTTACATATTTCTTCAAGTAGGGGTAGCAAGCAAAAGTTTGGCAAAAGACCGTGTTGTTAATTAGTATCTTCTCAGGTAAAACAACATAAAAAGTCCTCTAAATTGGTCTACCTTGCAATGAATATGCGTCAAACCGGTCTCAGCTTTGCAGAAAGTTTTAGAAATTTTCCATTAAGGAGGAGGTTACAAGGCGAAAACGAACGCATAACATCAGACATTTTGAGCCCATTTCTTATGAAGAGCTAATCTGGCGTGTTCATGCCGTGTTTCAAAAAAGGATGACGAGACGTTGGCGCATGCTGCAGGCATAATGCGCGTAATAAACAATCTAGTCTCAACGCTTGTGTAGTAATACCGAACTATCAGAAAAACTCTACGTACTAAAAACGTCGTTAAAGCTTTTTTGACATTGTAAGTTGACCACGCTTTAAAACCTGTTCTTTCTTGAACATCTGCTGAATTGCCCATTTATTAGCTTTGTCATAAATATCGTCATAAACTTTCCACAAGTGCATACAAATGAATTAAAAACATGTTTAAATTGCTGACGGACTTACGCAGAGCATCCAAATATTCTATAGAGCCCAACATTTCACAAAACCACATGTCAGCTCTGAAGGACGAGTTGATGTAGTCATAGAGCCGATGACATCAAACATGCGAAAAATCTTCCACTAATCAATAGTTGCTGTTAGAGCTCTGAAAAAGGATCTCTAAGCGGTTACACTACTACGATAGGCGTGAAAGGTCTGTTCCACCCCAAAGATTTTTTTATTGTAAAGTTCTCATTCAGTTAGCGAAACGTTGACGATTACACTGGCGCCTGTATAAAAGTGCAACACTGAGGAGTTGGCACTGGTGGTTGCGAACGGCATGGACGAGAAGCAAAAGCTACTGTATGCTGAGAATCTAAAGCGATTCGTATTTTTTGGTGTTGCTGTCTCCACTGTTGCAACATTCACTGCAATCATTGCTGTACCTTTACTATGCCTTTACCTACAAAACGTACATTCTAGCGTACAAGAAGAGATACTTTACTGCCGCACAAAATCTAGTGGATTAAGAGGAGAATATATCCGGGTAATTTAGTTATTTTCTGTCATTTCGAATTTCTTAAACAATGTTTTGCGCCTAATGAAGCCTCTATGACGTTTGAACTTTTAGACTGAAAGTCAGCACCAGAGCAGAGCAAAACGTCAAGAGCCTAGCACGTGTTGCTCATGCGGAGTTGGACCCGTAGGACCTGCAGGACCTCCAGGCCCAGATGGTGAACCTGGTGTAGACGGACATCCTGGAAGACCTGGGGCTCCAGGAGCAGATGCTTCTGATCACCTCGCAATACCCAAACCCAGCGATTTCTGTTTTGAATGTCAGCCGGCACCTGCTGGCCCACCTGGCTTGACAGGGCCGATGGGTCCCATGGGACCACCAGGACCACCAGGAGAGGTAATCTCTTGCTACAATTTACTGCCATCATCATATCTGTTTTTTGCAGCAAGGTCCGATGGGAAGTCAGGGACCTCGCGGTAACAATGGCCCTCCAGGACCACCCGGAAAAGATGGAGAACCTGGTGAAGTTGGACCACCCGGAATAGCTGGTACTGTGCGAACTCTACCTTCCCCAGTCGGCCCACCTGGAGAACAAGGTGAAATGGGACCTGCTGGCCCTCCTGGTCCAGATGGTCCCCCTGGACGCGATGGACATCCCGGTGCTGCTGGACCTCAAGGCGATAACGGGGTCGATGGACCGAATGGAAAAGACGGTGAAAATGGCCCACCCGGTCCGCCTGGAAAAGATGGTAACAAAGGATCATGTGATCATTGTCCTGTGCCTCGTACTCCTCCCGGTTACTAAGTCAGTTTAGTTTACATATCTCTTCTTATCTAGCTCATTTGTGTTTTGCTTCCGTTGTTGGAATTGTTTATAAATAATTCTAAAGTAGTCCTGTTATCTTCGTTGAAGCGGCCTCATCTTAAGATCCGCGCCTGCATTTGTACATTTACTCGCCCTTTCCCAAACGATTGATCTTTGTCTGGGCGAAGTCCCGCTTGCATTGTATGCTTTCAATTCTATGCGTTTCACGAAGGATGCTTCGTCATCTGCTAATATTTGAGATATTACGAGTAAATGCGTAGAACACCTGATCTCGAGTTCCATGTATTCCACAAAGAAGTTTCACGTTTGCGCTTTGCATATAAACCAATGATGGCAACTTCCCTGCTGACGTATGGAACAGCGGTAAGTCTGACAACTTGAAAAATATGGTCAAAAAACAAGATAGATCTTTTATAATTTTTAGGATGCTCTACCTAATCGCACATTCAATCCGATGTCTCGTGTGGAAGGTTGAAAATGGCACAGCTGCAAGTTGGTTTCAGAAGTTTTACCTCAGCAGAGGCAAGACTCCAAATATGCGCATCCAGAGTATCATTTTTGTAGTAATGTCTGAGCGTCAGGCGAATGTTATGAAAGTTTCGTGCTAGCAAAAAAACAAGCAGAAACATCCGCGACATCTGCCACAACCGATTTTCTTCAAGCCTTAAATTAGGCGCACTAACTTGGCCGATTGCAAAAGTTAGGCGAGTACAATGACTTTCAGGTATGCTGCAAGTTTTTATGAGTTAAGCATTTATAGAACTCAACCCGAACTTGGAATTTGCTTTTTATGGTGCCCTGAAAGTGTACCGTTTGCCTTGATCTATTCGCATCGCTTACTCTCTATTTGGTTACATTTTTCGATATGACCAACGGTCCAAGTCAAAAAACAACATCATAAAGATCTAGGAAAACTTTTAGTCTACTGAATAACACTTTTAGTGGGCTGTACGCTCACTTTCACCGTCACATTTATCAAAAAGCACCCGCGTTTTAGTAAAGGAAGCGTTTATTTACTTCATTAAATCATCATATATGGGCAACTTTCAAAGCGACTGCGCCAGCAATGAAAAAAATTGGCCTTTCCAAGTTCATGCTATCTGTGAAGAGAGACAAACAAGACGCGGATCGCCAGCTTAGCTTTTTTGAACTATTCGTAAAATGATTGTCTCACCTAAGCAGTCATCACTCTAGATACTTGGTTTCTCGCTTTCGAATCCAATCAATCACTTTCACGCATTTCTGTCTACAGTGTATATGGAATGAAAAGTTCCACTGTATTTCCATAACACAGAGTTCCAGAGACTGAGAAAATCTGAACTCATTTGATGATAGCCATATATGCGTTGGCAAACGTGGTGACATTTCCGGTCTGCAATGTTAGTCGTATCGCGTACTGAGTCCATTTTTTGCCTTGCAACCTTGTTTTTTCTATGTCGTTTGTTACCCGAAAGTCTCAACATTCTACCGGTTTCTTTGGACACAGAAAATTTACGATCTTTTGCCGCGACTTTATCAAAGGAAAATCTGCTAGCAAAACAACCAAAAGGCTTTTTGTGGTTCCGAAGTATGGTTGAACAGGAGCTACTGCAAAGCTTAGCATGTCAAATTGAATTTCTAACCTTCTTTTTTTTCAATGTTATGCACATTTTTTGCTCTTCAGAACTAAGCAAAGTTGCATGCTTACAAAAAGCCATGTTGTTTTGTGTTTAAACTCATTTGCTTACAAATTCTAGAATAAAAAGTTTCCCAAAGTGATTTAGAGACCTTCCACAAATATAGTATGAGTTATAAAATTACTTCCGTTAAAGATTACGAGATCAATGGATATTAATCTTCGCTCCGACGGCAAAAAGTAAAGGGGTGTACCATGGCGGTTGATTACTATTACTGTATCTAAGAGTAAATTATCATCAGTGTTACTGTAGCGGATGAATTTGTTTCTATTTTTTGCAAAGTTTCATGCGGAAAATCAAATTTGGCAATCCAGGCTAATCAGACACGGTCACAAAAATGATTAGTTTGCAAAACTATCATTGTTCCTTTGATTTAACCTAATTTAACAAAATATAAGGAGACCTTTTTCTTTTTTAGTCTAGCAGCTTAGCAGCTTCGCTGTGCCTTGCAAAACATCGCCGCACGATTTTCTTCGGAAACGCGCAGCACACTAGAGGATCCTCGGATCCCAAATCCTTTGGCATGCTTGGAGTCGAGTAAAAAAAATCCTTGAACCTTACTTATTAGGGTAATGAGACTCCACCTTCATATTCATCCATGTTCTTGCCGCTGCAAGAAGCCAAATCGATATTCGTGCTTTCCCCTCAGCAAAGGATAGCGAATGTTCTGAGCTTCTGCATGAATTACAGAGTTGTGCACCTGACGCAGAGCTTTTCCGTAAAAACTTTATGATGCGTCCTATCCCCAAGAAATTCATGAATACAAAATAAACTGACTAGTGATAATCATTTCTTTATTTAGTATCAATACTTTTCGTGATCCAGATCGATTGCGAAGAAGGTTTTTTCTTTACGTATAACCAAATCTGAACTGTATGTCGATATCGATTTTATCGTTTTCTTCGCAAAATTTCACCTACGCGGCTGAGAGTTGGCAAAGGGGGGGGGGGGTGAGCATAGTCACAGTTTCGATCATCCTACAACTCTCTGAAACGAAGTAATGAAGCTCATATTATCAATGTGAGTTCGTTATGAGACCAACGCAGATAGAGGGGAGGGGGAGCAATCGTGAGTGAGTCGTTGTAGGCAACACATGCTTACATTCTTGTTATCTGAGGATCCGCTGAGCCAAATAATGGACGTACTATATCATTACGAAAAGCAGTCAAGAGTTCAAATTCCACTAGACAAGTGAGATGCTTGCAGTTCTTCTTTGGAATAGGGGAGAAATTGAGTTGAAGGTACTAGCACAAACTAGACGGAAAAATGGGTCCAGGAAAAGGGAAAGTGACTTTTGTAATTTTTGCTGCTCAAAAGTTTACAGGAAAAATTCCCAAGCACAATTTGGTATGTGCTGCTTACTGTTGCGCGAACGCTTAAGACGCTTCGACACATTAGTTCTTCCTAACCTTTAAGAGGAAAAGGTGTAAGGCTTGACACGAGATAGCGCTGAGAATTTTGGAAGATGACCTTTTGGAGGCGACATCCACCCAGTTCGAATGTGCTCAGACAGTCGCCGGGGGTAGGCGGCGCCGGAAAATTCGCGTTGCTAAAATTTCGCATTCCGCTCGCAAATTCCGGGAAAATGGTCAGCGAGTTTTCGAGAAACCGCCTGTTGAATTTTTTTTCGCTTTTATCTTTTGCAGATATATGCTGATTCTTTGAGGAATCGAAAACTCAGCAAGCGGCCTTCCGAAAAGTCCTGGTTGCTTTCCAAAAAATACGCGAGCGGGGTGCAAGAAATCAGCCATCTATTTTTTCCGGTGCCCGCCTGTCCCCGGAGATTGGCTGAGTGTGAGAGGTTTCAATGCAACAGAATAGAGATCTCAACCAAAAGGGAAGCTTATTTAGTCGAAATGGCCTTTCCAAGTGAGAAGTGTACCTTAATAAAGGGCATAAAATCCTAATTCCAAATCTGCCTTTCTCATCTGCAGAACGTTTATGGGCGAGGAGTTATGAAAGTTTTTTCAAGCCAAAATTGAATGTGCATTTGAATAAAATGAGGTGCTAAAATCTTACTAGCCCTCAAGTAATGCAACCAAGTGCGATATATTTTTTATTTTAGAATATATTTAAATAAAGTGCTCTGATGATTATCACTGCTCCGTTGAAGAATTAGAAAAAGTATTACGGCTACTGTGGTCCTACTTGCACATTCAATTTTTTGCTCCAATAAGCGCTCCTCGCCTCATAACTCCTCGCCCATAAACTTCTGCAGATAAGGAAGGCAGATTTGGAATCAGCATTTTATGCCCTTCACTATGGTATAAAACCCATTT